CCCACTGTACAGCACAGGGAACTCTACTCAATAGTCTGTGATAACCTAAATGAGAAAAGAATTTGAAAAAGAACAGATATATGTATATGTATACATTCGCTTTGCTGTACACCTGAAGCTAACACAACGTAAATCAGCTATACTCTAATATAGATTTTTTTTAATTAAAAAAAAAAAACAAAGATACCACATGGAAATAAAGCTGAGAAATTCTGCAGGTGCTCTGGGTGGCAGAGCAAAACACCCCAGAGATCCATGCAGGGGTGTCGAGCCCTACATCTCCACATGGCTTCACCTGAGGTGCAGTCACCCTCCCTGGGATGAAAAATAGATAGAAAGGGATGGAGGGAAGATTTATTGAGTGCCTACTGAGTGCCAAGAGTGCTGACACGCCTGTGGGGCAGGTACGGTGCTTCCCGTCTGGAGAGCTGAGGCCGAAGCCAGTGGTCAGGAAAGGTGCCGGCACGGTGGAGACAGGAAAGGATTCATCCGGCAGCAATGAATCCACCAAAGAGGCTCTTTCCGAAAACCAGTGACTTTTGCCAAAAAGCCATAATGAAAAGGCCCCACGTGCGTTCACACAGTAATACTAAACAGCAATGAGAAAGAATGATAAACTATACACCACAATGTGAATGACTCCTATAACATGGTGGGTTTGACTTGTACCAGCTCATAAGAGCTGACTGTGGAATATTCTGGAATCTTGCAAACTGATTGTTAAATCATTGGTGGCTTGAAATCCACCAAGGTGGGAGCATTCACAGCATTGAAACAGGCAAACACTACAAACAGGAACTTTTTCTTTCTTTCTTTCTTTTTATTGTATTGCTTTTTTAAAATTTTTTTATTCTTTTTTCTTTTATTCCTTTCCTTCTTTTTTCTTTTATTTATTTATAATAATAAATAAATTATTTTTTTGAAAGCCAATTTACCAGCACACCACTGGGCTTTACAGATTCTGAGCAGAAGTAACCAGACAAAAAGAGGACACACTGATCCCATTTATAAGGAGTTCTACAACAGGCAAAGCTAATCTATGTTGATGGCAGTCAGAGCAGTGGTCACCCTGCATCGGGAGAGCTGGTCACGTTCCGTGTCTTGATCTCGGTGGTGGTCACATGGGCGTATTCAGTGTGTGAAAATTCATCGACTCTGACACTTACGATGGAGCATTTTTCACAGACGTGGTCCCATACCAGTCCCATATATCTGGGTGGGGAGGAAGAAGAGGGAGACCCTCCACTCCATTTTGCAGAAGCAGATGATCTTTGAACCTTTAAGGCTTCACAAGAGAGACGCTCCATAATTCAAGCTCAGGAGTCAGAGGCTCCCGCGTTGCAAGCTTGGGCAAGTTCCCTAGGCACTTTGGGCCTCAGTTTCCCCATCTGTTAAATGAAAATACCAAAACCTACTTCTAGGGTTGTTGAGAATATTAAATATGCATTATATTGCTTCAAACACTGTAAATACCCAATACACTGGTTATTGTTTATTTTCGTTCTTATTATTAATCAGCCCCAGGGATGGATAGGAGACAAGGGAGAAAGAAGAAGAGGGAGAATTAATATTTGAGAAAATAGTCAGTGGAGGAAAGCACGTCACTCCCTGCAAAGGGTGTGTTTTGTCTCTGTCTTCTCCCCATGTCTGGCTAAGCTCCCTCCTAACCCTGAAAATACTGAATCTGAAATGGGTTAGAAGGGCCCTGGGTCAAAATAACCCCAACTTGGAACAAGTTTGATTCTGGGGCTGGCATGCCTGGGGACATGGTCTAACCTAGATTCACGTGGAGGAGTTCACCTAGCTAAACACATAGTAAGTTCCCAATGTATAGCTAAAGGAGTCAGACCAATCATGCAAGGGCGGAAAATTCCAGTGAAGGTTTTAAAAAGGAAGAGATGTGGAGGAAACATAAATACTGAAAACTGTGAAGTGTCCATTTCCCTCCGAATGGACAGTGATAGAGTGTTTCATGCTTTGATCCCAGTGTGATTTTTACCTGGCCTATCAGTAAACATTTACCCATAATCCACTTTGTTCTACATGAGACTCTACTTGGAGTTTGGAGAGAATCATAGATCCTCAAAAAAAAAGGTACAAATGAACTTATTTACAAAACAGAAATAGAGTCACAGATGTATAAAATAAACTTATGGTTACCGGGGGGGAAGGGGAGGGGATAAATTGGGAGGTTGGGATTAACATATACACACTACTATATATAAAGTAGATAACTAATAAGGACCTACTGTACAGCACAGGGAACTCTACTCAATACTCTATAATGACCTATGTAGGAAAAGAATCTAAAAAAGAGTGGATCTATGTATACGTATAACTGATTCACCTTGCTGTACAGCAGAAACTAAGACAACATTGTAAATCAACTATACTCCAATAAAATTTTTTTTAAAAAAGGGCCCAGGAGATCATCTCATCCAATTACCCCACTGGATACTGATATTTTCAAATAACTAACCCAATGGGTGGCTGGTCAACCTTTCCAACATTTGCATGCTTCCAGTCACAGGGAACCCACCCCATGATGAGGCAGCCCGTGGCATCTATGCATCACCCTGTGAAAACATTACTGCACCAAAGAGAAAGCCGCCTGACTGTGGCTCCCCACTGAGCCCGGCTCTATGCCTTAGGGCCACCCACCATTAGAAAGATGCCTCCTTCCACTGAAAGTTTCCCATCATGTGTGCAGACGCGTTCCACCCTGCCCTACTCTTCTATTCTCTTGACTCAACAATGCCTTTGAAGGGTCTCACCTCCATTTCTTCCACATCTAACAGGGTTTCCCATTTTCTGCATCTTCCTAGTCTTGCTTCCATATTCTTAACTATTACAAATCTACAAATCAAAACTTAAAGAGCATTAACTCCTCAAAACCATTTGTTCTTTAAAGAAACTACTTAAAAAGAATTTTCACTAATCCAGGGCATCCAGATTGTTTGTAATCTGTCCCTGTCTGTATTTCCAGTCATGTCTTCTGACATGGCTCCACATCCACTTTGTCCTTCAGCAGTAATGGGTTCTCCCTCACGACTGTTCCCTCCACACCATCATTGTCCCCAGAATCTCAGCCCACATGTTGCTTCTTGCCTCTCCGTTATACCTTCCAGCATCTGTACCAATCATCCTCCCTGACAGTTAGCTTCTCCATCATGGCACCTCTAGGGCTTTTCTTCCCTCTATTTTAGCACCTATCCCACTGCACTGAAATCATCTCTTCGCACTATCTCTCTCCCACTAGACAGTGAACTGCTGGATCAGGGACCACTTCTCCTTTTCCATCCTCCAGGACCTACCATCCTTCTCACACATGGCAGATCTACTGTTTTTACTGAATGACTTCCTTTCCCCCTGCTAATCCAGCTCCGCTAAGTATGTGCTTGTTATGAATTACCTGGATGTGTTCCTTTAAGAGATGTCAAGGACTTCCCTGGTGGTGCAGTGGTTAAGAATCCGTCTGCCAATGCAGGGGACATGGGTTCAAGCCCTGGTCCAGGAAGATTCTGCATGCTGCGGAGCAACTAAGGCCGTGCACCACAACTTCTGAGCCTGCGCTGTAAAGCCCATGAGCCACAACTGCTGAGCCCACATGCCACAACTACTGAAGCCCACGTGCCTAGAGCCTGTGCTCCGCAACAAGAGAAGTCACTGCGATGAGAAGCCCACGCACTGCAACGAAGAGTAGCCCCCACTCGCGGCAACTAGAGAAAGCCCACGTACAGCAATAAAAACCCAACACAGCCAAAAATTAATTAATTAAAAATGTTTAAAAAGAGATGTCAAAAGTAGATTTCCCCATTATAAATCAGTTTGCATAGAAAATGTAGCTTTGTTAAGCAACATGTTTAGATGCTAATCCTACTTAAGCCCAGTGGAGTAGAGCATTTCTCAACACAGATTTCTAAGAAGAAAGCTACAGTGAGGGTTCCGATTATAAGATTTGCTCACAGAAGCTAGTCACTGTTCAAAAAATCAGTATAATTGGCAGGTGGTATATTCAATACAGCCCCTTTAGTGATGCTTTTATTTTATTTGGATTTTGATCACATTTAAAAATTAATAATCCACCAGGCTGAAACCAATCACAAGTTAATTAAAATGAGAACATTTCTTAGAGTTAAAAATGTAATGCCAGAATTTCAGCTTACAGGAAGGTGAAGTCCATGTACTTCTTCCTGTTCCTTCTGCTAAGTCCAACTAAAAACCCTGGACATTTAGTATAATATATAGAGAGAGAAAGAGAGACTCTGAAAGGTGGGGGGAAGGCAAACAAACTAGGGAACTCAGAACCCAAGTAACAAAACAGTAATGCATTCTCTGAATCAACTTTTTGCCTCATATATCCCAGACTTGGAGCTGAAGAAGCCAAGCAAACTGAAAACACCAACGACTACAGACAAAAATAGCCCCAGCAAAAGCCTGCTCTCTCTAACCAAAGGACAGGAGAAGGAAGGGACATTCTAGCAAGACAGAAAACTTTTAGATGGTAAACATCCTACTCCAATCAAACACCATAGAAAAAAACTACGGCTGCACTCCTACCAAGCAGAAGCCAAATGGAGAGCCTAGACTTCCATCCTCAGCAAGTTTAAGGAGGCGCCCCAACTCCTGGTCAGTGTGGTGTCAGATAAGGTTGAGTATGGACCTGAGGCATTCACCCACACCAAGCAATAAGGAGCACCCTCCATCACCACGTGGTGTTGATGGAAACCACCTGGGAAGTTTCTGTTTCTTCCCTGCTGGAGTAGTCTCAATGGAGAGTGGAAGGTCACGATTTTCACCAGAGCCCAGCAGTAACAGGGCCAATGCCTCCCTTCCCCCACTGATGATGTCCTTTGAGGACACATGACGAGTAGTAATGAGCCCCTCCTACCCCTCTCTGCCAGGGAGGTATCTGTAGATACCAACATTGAAGTAACAGAGATGTTAGAATTACCAGACAAAGATGTTACAGTAGCCATCATAAAAAAATGCTTCAGCAAGCCATTATAAACACACTTTAAACTAATGGAAAAATAAAAACACTCAGCAAATAAGTTGAAAGTGTCAGCAAAGAAAGAGAAGATATTAAAAAAATCAAATAGAAATTTTAGAACTGAAAAATACAGTAACTGAAATTAAAAGCTCAGTGGATGAGCTCAACAGCAGAATGAAGGAGACAGAAGAAAACAATCAGTGAGATGTAAAGTAGAACAATAGAAATTACTCAGTCTGACTAATGGAGAAAAGTTAGAATAAAAATAAAAAGATAAGCAGAGCCATAGGGATCTGTGGGATTGTAACAAAAGGTATGTCTTTCGTGTCATCAGAGTTCTGGAAAGAGAGAAGAAAAGGGACAGGGATCACAAGCTGTTCAAAGAAATAATAACTGAAAACTTCCTAAATTTGGCAAAAGTCATAAACTACAGATTCAGGAAACTGAGCAAACCCCAAACAGAATAAAACCAAAGAAAACATGCAAATAGCTATCAAACTTCTGAAAATATTCAAACTTCTGAAAATTAAAACAAAATTTTAAAAACCTTGAAGCAGTAAGGGAAAAGTGACTCCTTACCTATAGATGAAAACCAATTCAGGTGACAGCAGATTTCTCATCAGAATCCATGGAGGCCAGGAGGAAGAGGAATATTCTTCAAGTGCTGAAAGAAAAGAACTGTCAACTTAGAAACCAGAAAAAATATCAGAAAAATCCTATATGTAGCAAAAATATCAGAAATGAAGGGGAAATCAAGACATTCTCAAATGAAAGAAAACTAAGAATTTGTAGCCAGAAGACCTACCACAAAAGAAAGGCTAAAGTAAGTTCTATAAATAAAAAAAGAAATGATAAAAGGAATCTTAGAAAATCAGGAAGAAAGTTTGCAAACAAAAATATGGGTAAATATAATAGCTTTTCCTTCTCTTCATGAGTTTTCTAAATTATGTTTGACATCTGAAGCAAAAAATATGGCACTGTTTAATGTGGTTCTAAATATTTAGCAGAAATATTTAAGACAAATACTTAATATTTAATACAAGTGGGGAGAGTGAATAGACATAAAGGCAGATAAGATTTCTACACTTCACTTGAACTGGTAAAATGATGACTGTAATAAGTTATGTGCATATAATGTATTATTAGAGCAATCATTAAATTTTCACACAGATACACTCAAAAACTCTAAAGTTAAAACTCTATAGTTATAAAATTCTAAAAAATGTTCAAATAACCCACAGAAAAGCAGGGGAAAAGAGAGAAATGCAGAAAGAACAAACAGAAAACCAAAAAAGAAAGCCAGATTTAAGCCATAACAAATCAATAATTACATTAAATGTACAGTTGACCCTTGAACAATGCAGGAGCTAGGGCCACTGACCCTTGGGCAGTCAAAAATCAGTGTATAACTCTACAGTCAGTCCTCCATATCTATCGTTCCACATCTGTGGATTCAACCAACCTTGGATCATTTAGCATTATAGTATTTATTTATTGGGGAAAAAATCCATATATAATTGGACCCACACAGTTCAAACCCATTTTGTTCAAGGATCAACTGTAAATGGTTATACCAATTAAAATGCAAAGACTGACAGAGTGGATCAGAAAACATGACCTAATTATATGATGTCCATAAGAAACTCACTTACAATATAATGATATAGGCAGGGTTGAAAAAAAAAGCAGTGGAGATATATGTATATATTACAAACTTCAACTGAAGTTTGTATATATGTACCTATTCAAACTTCAATTGAAAGAGAGAAGGAATAGCTATATTAATATCAGAATATAGAATTCAAAGCAAAGAAAATTACCAGAAGCAGAGAGATACATTATATAATAACAAAAGGATCAATCTATCAAGAAGATTTAGCAATCATAAATGTGTATACAACAACAGAGCTATAAAATATGTGAAACAAAAATTGATAGAAATGAAAGGAGAAATAGACCAATCTACAATTATTTTTGGAGACTTCCACATCCCCCTCTTAACAGTTGATAGAACAACTCTTCAGAAAATCAGCAAAGATCACAGGAAAACTGAAAAACGTTATCAACAAATAAGATATAATTGACATTTATAGAACACTCCACCCAACAAAAACAGAATATGCATTCTTTACCATTGCCCACATATGCCAAGACAAACCATATCCTGAGCTATAAAACAAATTCACTTCAATAAATGAGCCACTTCAACAAATTTGAAAGAATGGTAATCATACAATGTGTTCTCCAGCCCCAATGGAATGAAACTATAAATCAATAAAGAAAATCTCAAACACTTGGAAATTAAACAACACACTTCTAAATAATCTACAGATCAAAGAGGAAGTCCCAAAGGACTTTTTAAAAATTCATTCAACTGAATGAAAATGAAAGTACAACGTATGAAAATTTGTGAGCCACAGCTAAAGCAGTGCAAAGGGGGAAATTTATAATACTAAATACATATATTAGGAAGAAAAATGTCTCAAATCAATCCAAGCTTTCACCTCAAGAACCTAAGACATAAAAGAGCAAAATACATTCCAAGTAAGCAGAAAGAAATAGTAAATATAAGAGTGGAAATCAATGAAATTAAGAGAAAAACAACTGAGAAAGTCAATGAAACTGAGCTGATTGTTTAAAAGATCAGTAAAATTGGCAACCTTTAGCAATTCTAGCAAAGAGAAAAGAGAATAAATACAAATTACCAATTTTACAAATGAAAGAAGAGTCATCACTAGATATGCTAACTTCAAAAGTCTATAAGGTTAAAACTACAAACAACTCTGCATGCATAAATTTGGCAACAAAATGGACCAATTCATTAAAAAGCACAAACCACCACAATCTACCCTAAATGAAACAGACAATTTGAATAGTCCTACAACAATTAAGGAGATTGAAGTCAAATTTAGGAGCTCCCCCAAAAGATATTTCCAAGCCTACATGGTTTTATATAAATGGAGAAAAGCTTCTTTAAAGAAGTTTTAATAGCAATTTCATATACTCTTCCAGAACATAAGAGAGAACATTTCTCAATTTATTTTATAAAGCAAGTATTGCCCTGATACCAAAACAAGGAGAGTATTTTTAAAACAGAAAAGTACAAGCTCACATCACTCATGAAAATAGATGTAAAAATCCTTTATAAATATTTGCAATCAGAATATACAATGGAGAAAAGACAGCCTCTTCAATAAGTGGTGCTGGGAAAACTGGACAGCTACATTGAAAAGAATGAAATTAGAACACTCCCTAACACCATACACAAAAATAAACTCAAAAGGGATTAAAGACCTAAATGTAAAGCCAGACACCATAAAACTCTTAGAGGAAAGCATAGGCAGAACACTCTAGGACATAAATCACAGCAAAATCCTTTTTGACCCACCTCCTAGAGAAATGGAAATAAAAACAAAAATTAAAAAATGGGATCTAATGAAACTTAAAAGCTTTTGCCCAGCAGAGGAAAACATAAACAAGACAAAAAGACAGCCCTCAGAATGGAAGAAAATATTTGCAAATGAAGCAACTGACAAAGGATTACTCTCCAAAATTTACAAGCAGCTCATGCAGCTCAATATCAAAAAAACAAACAACCCAATCCAAAAATGGGCAGAAGACCTAAATAGACATTTCTCCAAAGAAGATATATAGATTGCCAACAAACACGTGAAAGGATGCTCAACATCACTAATCACTAGATAAATGCAAATCAAAACTACAATGAGGTATCACCTCACACCAGTCAGAATGGGCATCATCAAAAAATCTACAAATAATAAATGCTGAAAAGGGTATGGAGAAAAGGGAACCCCCTTGCACTGTTGGTGGGAATGTAAATTGATACAGCCACTATGGAGAACAGTATGGGCGTTCCTGAAAAAACTAAAAATAGAACTACCATACGACCCAGCAATCCCACTACTGGGCATATACCCTGAGAAAACCATAATTCAAAAAGAGTCCTGTACCACAATGTTCACTGCAGCTCTATTTACAATAGCCAGGACATGGAAGTAACCTAAGTGTCCATCGACAGATGAATGGATAAGGAAGATATGGTACATATATACAATGGAATATTACTCAGCCATAAAAAGAAACGAAATTGAGTTATTTGTAGTGAGGTGGATGGACCTAGAGTCTGTCATACAGAGTGAAGTAAGTCAGAAAGAGAAAAACAAATACCATATGCTAACACACATATATGGAGTCTAAAAAAAAAAAAGAAAAAAAAGGTTCTGAAGAACCTAGGGGCAGGACAGGAATGCAGACGTAGAGAATGGACTTGAGGACATGGGGAGGGGGAAGTGTAAGCTCGGACAAAGTGAGAGAGTGGCATGGACATATATACACTACCAAATGTAAAACAGATAGCTAGTGGGAAGCAGCTGCATAGCACAGGGAGATCAGCTCGGTGCTTTGTGACCACCTAGAGGGGTGGGATAGGGAGGGTGGGAGGGAGACGCAAGAGGGAGGAGATATGGGGATTTATGTATATGTATAGCTGATTCACTTTGGTATAAAGCAGAAACTAACATACCATTGTAAAGCAATTATACTCCAATAAAGATGTCAAAAAAATAAAAAATAAATATTTCCAATCATAATGCAGAATATGTAAAAAGAGTTATACACCATAACCAAGTGCGGTTATTCCAGGAATTTGAGGCTTTTCAGTATTTGAAGATTAATCAGTGTAATCCATCCTGTCAACATAACAAGTGAAAAATCATATGATTATATCAATACATGAATAAAAAGCATTCGACAAAATTTAGCACCATTCGTGATGAAAACTGAGAAAACTAGAAATAGAGAAGTACTTCCTCAATTTAATAAAAAGCATCTACAAAAAACTTACAGCTAATGTTTAACAACAACAACAAAAAAAGCTACATTTAACACTATACTTAAAGATGAAAGACTGCTTTCAGATGCTAAGACCAGGAACAAGAAAAGGATATCTGCTCTCATCCCTCTTACTCAACATGGTACTGAAGTTTCAGCCAGTGCAATAATTCAAGAAAAGGAAGTAAAAGGCATACAGATCAGAAAGTAAGAAATAAAACTGTCCCTATTTGAGATGACATGATAGTCTATGTAGAAAATCCAAGAAATCTGTTATTTGTTTTCTGTTTTGTTCCCTCTATTTCTTTTCCTGTTTTTTTTTTTCTTTTTTTCTTTTTTTTGCCGTACGCGGGCCTCTCACTCTTGTGGCCTCTCCCGTTGCGGAGCACAGGCTCCGGACGCGCAGGCTCAGCGGCCATGGCTCACGGGCCCAGCCGCTCCGCGGCATGTGGGATCTTCCCGGACCGGGGCACGAACCCGTGTCCCCTGTATCGGCAGGCGGACTCTCAACCACTGCGCCACCAGGGAAGCCCCCTGTTTGTTTTTTCTTGGCTTCTTCTGCATTACTTGAACATTTTTGATGCTTCATCTTTATTAAATTATAACGTATTTCTTTATATAGATTCCTTAGTGGTTGCTCTAGGTATTATTATACATGCATATAATTGCCTACTGATGTTGATTCTTTACCATTTCAAGAGAAGTATAGAAATCTCACTTTCATTTAGGTCTCTTTATTACCTCAATTTAATAAATATAATCACCTTTAAAGTATTCCCTCTACAAATATTGAACACATCAAACAGTGTGATAACTTTTTCTTCGACTATGAAACCATAAAATGTGATTAAAGAAACTCATGAGATGAAGGATGAAGGATAACCTATTATGTTTATTTCTTTTTATCCATTCCATTGCTCTTTCCTTTCTGATGGTTCTAGCCTTTTTTCTATTATCATTATCATTTTCCTTCTGTTTGGAAAACTTTCTTAGGCATTCTTTTTTTTGTTGTTTTTTTGATTATATAGACACTGGAATTTATTGTTGTGGTTTTTAAAAAATAGACTAAATTTTCATTTTGAAAAAAATACTGATGCCTGGGTTCTACCCACAGAGGTCATGATTTAACTGATCTGGGATATATCCTAGATAGGATGACTTTTTTTTTTTTTAACATCTTTATTGGAGTATAACTGCTTTACAATGGTGTGTTAATTTCTGCTTTATAACAAAGTGAATCAGCTATACATATACGTAAATCCCCATATCTCCTCCCTCTTGCGTCTCCCTCCCACCCTCCCTATCACACCCCTCTCGGTGGTCACAAAGCGCCGAGCTGAACTCCCCGTGCTATGTGGCTGCTTCACACTAGCTATCTATTTTACATTTGGTAGTGTATATACATCCATGTCTTAGGCGTTCTTTAAGGATAGGTGTGCTAGCAACAAATTACCTTCATCTGAGAATGTTTTTCTCCTTCAACCCTGAAGGATAGCTTCACTGACTATGTGATTTGGGGCTAATGGTTCTTTCCTTGCAGCACTTGAAAAATACTGTGCTACTTCCTTCTGACCTCCACGGTTTCAGAAGAGAAATCCACCATCATTCCAGTCAGTGTTCCTTTATAGGTAATGTGTCATTTTTCTCTGGCTATTTTTAAGAATATTTCTTTGTCTTTACAAGTTTGACTATGATGTGTCTTGGTGTGGATTTCTTTGAGCGTTTCCTATTTGGGATTTGCTCCTCTTCATGAATCTGTAGATTTATATCTTTTGCAATTTGGGGAGTTTTCGGCTATTATCTCTTCTGATACATTTTCAGCCTTTACTCTCTAGAACTTTAATGCCAGAACTGTTCAATCTTTTTTATTATTGTCCCAAAGATCCCTGAGGCTCGCCAATGCTTTTTCAGCCTATTATCTCTCTGTTGTTCAGACTAAGTAAGTTCTATTGATCTCTCTTCAAGTTCACTGCTTCTATCCTCTGTCATCTCCACTCTACTATTAAGTTCACCCAGTAAGTTTTTTATCTTGGTTGTTGTATTTTTCAATTCTATCATTTTCATTTACTTCTTTTTTATCATTTATTTCTTTGCTGAGATTTTCTGTTCTTTCTTTTGTTTCAGGAGAATTTGATTTGTCATTGATGGTCGAAGCATTTCTATGATGGCTGCTTTAAAATCCTTGTCCAATAATTTCAACATTTGAGTCATCTTGGAACTGCACCAGTTAATTATCTTTTTTCATTCAAATTGTGGTTTTCCTGGTATGATGAAGGTTTTTTTTTCCCCCTGTATCCTGGAAATTTTAATCATTTGATATTGACCTATTTAAGTCTTCTATTTTAGTAGGCAGTGGCTCCTGTTTAGTTTTAGAGTATAGGTTCGGTGCTACCTTTTTTGGGCTTTCGTTCCAATGACAATTTAGGTTTTTTTGAGCACTTACGGTGCTATCTGGTCAATTTTGTTCTTCTGGTGCTGCTAATTCTCCTGCTCAACCTATGGTGATATTTTCTGCAGGGGCAGAAGGTGCCTCTCTGGGTTGTTTACTGTCTGTGGGTGACCATCTAGGGAGGAAGGGGCAGAAGCCATCAGGCCTAGGTCTCCTTACGTTTCTGGGTAGAGCACAGGCAGACACAGGGCTTCATTGTTGCAGCTGTGAGTGTATGAGATCACCCACTTGGTCAGCTTGTGATCAGGGGTTGGAATGGCCAAGGCTTTGTTGCTTCAGCTGTAAACAGATCAGACCTCCTGCAGGGGCTGTGGTTGTAGAGTTGAGGCTGGGGGTCCCCACTAGATCTCTGTTGGGCTTCCTTCTTTAGACCTTTGGCCAGAGACAGCAGGCTTTTCTTGTTTGTCTGTTTGTTGCCTATTCATGTTGGCAGTTCCAGGTTGCAGACCTCTCCTGCACACAGTCTAGGAGATAAAATGAAAACCCAAGGAACTCACCGCATAGTTGTTTCTCAAGTCCTGAGGTCCCTATCCCGTCCTCCTCCTCCTTTGCAGCTCTGAGTCCTTTTATAATTGTCTTTTCAATAATTTCCAGGGTATTTGGTTATACTTTGGGGCAGAAGGGAACAGAGGAGAGTGAATATACTCCATCTTGTTTTGGAACCAGAAGAGCTAACAGATATGTTTGCCGCCTACTCTGTGCAGGGCTCTGCACTCAGCTTCCACAGCTACCCAGACAGAAGCAAACCCTCAGGGACTTGCCAACTGCCTGGACCATGGTGATGGGGTACCTCTGCTACAAGGCTACAGGTTTCTCAGTGGTAGCCTGAGATAAAGTCTCACAAGAGCGAATCTTCCTTTAATCCAAAGTTTCAAAGTTGCTTTCATTTTATTTCTATTATTTATTTAGGCCACACCGTGCCGCAGGCAGGATCCTAGTTCCCCCACCAGGGATCGAACCCATGCCCCCTGCTGTGAAAGCGTGGAGTCTTAACCACTAGACTACCAGAGAAGTCCCAAAGTTGCTTTTATTTTCATCATATGGGATGAATGGTTTTCTCAATGTGTTGTACAGTCCCGAAATGGATCAAAATTTGAATTCTTCCTGGTGCCCTCCACCCTTTGCTGTACTATGTCTCCTGCCCGTGGTCCAGCTCAGCAAGTGGACCTACCTGCCATCTGCTTCTACCTGCTTTTGTAGCTCCCCTCTCTCCTGCCTTACGGTCAGCCTGTCAGTTGTCACTCTGACTTCCGGGTACCTACTTTTGGAAGGCTCCTCATTTCAATCCTTAGTTCTAATTTGCTGAAGGTCAAGGAAGTCATCTAGCCAAGACTGTCTCTATTGTTTCTAAATGAAGAATAAAACTGACTGGGCAGGGGCACCTAACATATGGTGTGTTATGAGCCAGAGCTTGGGTACTTGGTGTTTTGATAATATTTTGGCAGTTCGGTGGCTGTTTTTACTACATTCTTGTTATTGGCTGTGTTCCAGATAATCAAGGCTGCTAGAAAAGTGGCCTCTAGAAAAACGAAGCATTTTGGCATGTATTTTGTAAAGAGACCCCATCCCACACGACACCTAACAGTTTTAAGCTCTGTGACATGGACTCAATAAGTCCTTGTTGGGTAAAATAGACAAAAGTGAAGATACTTTTTTTCTACTTTTCTATTACAAGAGAAGAGCTGAAAGGATATTTTATGACCCTCTCCAAAAGAAATTGTTTCTGTGCCAAAGTCAAACATGAGACATTTCAACCCAAAATAAAATCTGACAATGCTGTGGGTAACTTAATTGTAACTCTTCTGCAAGAAACTAGTATGAAAGTGAAAGGGGGTTTCAGTTGAGTTTTGTTGGAAATTAAATCCAATTATAGTTAGCATTAACTAGATACTGGATAAAACCATTTCCAAAATGTAGAACACTCCTATCCTAGACCCAGATTTTAACGAGGAGGCTCCATGCCAGGGACCTCCAGTCACTGAGAAGGAAACCTGGATGCCCAAAACCAGGCCCTGGAATTAGGTCTCACTGGTAAATGGACATGTGTGACATCACTGAACAAAAAGAACAGCCTGCCAAATACTTCTAAACTCACTTATTTGGATTCAAATGGGTCCCTGAAATAATCATTTGCCCTGATTTCCTAGTAAACTTTTGCCAAGACTATAAAAACTTTACTAATAGCCACATGTTAGGACTGGACAAAACACGCTCCTTCTCTTTCTCGCCTCCTCTGATGCACAATAGAAAGTGTTATTTGGATGAACTCTCAGATGATTATTTAACTGTGCTGAAGCCTACTTTGCCCACTTTGCAGCCGAATGACATAGGCAATTATATCCCCTTGAGGGTCTACTCCCC